AAATGGTAGGCTCATAAAATTTGCCTATGACACAAAACTAAGAGGGATAGCTAAAATACTAGATGACAGTCAAGCTAGAGCACTTAGCTAAATTTATTGAGTTGAAATTCAATGTAAAACTATGTCACAAGTTCAAGTCAAGGGAGGCAACGTTAGACAAGCAGGTTAGCTGTCAAAAACCTATGTCCTTTTGGTGGACGAAAAATATGAATCAGCAAGGTAGATCAGCTGCTAAAAAAGCTGATGTGATCTTGGGCTACAATAAAAAAAAAGCATAACATATAAGAAGAAAAAAAAAGGTTAGAGTCTCTTTGTATTCTGCCCTAGTCAGACTATATTTCATTCATCATGCTCAGTCCTGTGCACCATGGTTTAGGAAGGAAATTTACAAGGAGGAGAATATTTAGAGGAGGGCAACTATCCAGAAAATAGTAAAAGAGTTTGAGGTCATGCCATATGAAGACTGATCAAAGAAAGTGGGAATGCTTAGTCTGGAGAAGAAAGACTTACGGGTAAGTGGCCCCTGTGTTCAAGTAATTCAAGGTCCATTGTGTGGAAAAGGGATTTGTCTTCTTCTGTCTGACTCTAGAAGTAAGGAGAGTAGAAGAGGCAGCTAGGTGGCACAGTGGATAAAATTAGACAATATCAGGAAATATTTCCTCATAATTGGAGTTATCCAAAAGTGGAATAGGCTGTCTTAGGAGGTTGGGAGTTCAGCTCACTGGAGCTTTTTAAGCAGAGAATGAATGACTTATTAGGTATTATATCTATCAATTAATCAATAAACATTAAGCACCCACTATGTGCCAGGCAGTGTGCTAAGTGCTGGGGATACCAAAAGAGGAAAAAACAGTCCCTGCCTCAAGGAATTCACAATCTAATGGTGGTGTCAACATGCAAACAAATATATACAAAGTAAGCTCTATACAGGGTAAATGAAAGATAATTAATTAACTGAGGGAAGCCACTGGAATTAAGAGGGATTGACTTAGAGATAAGGGCTGGATGAGAAGCAGCATGGTATAGTGGATAAAGAACTGGCCTCAGAGCTAGGAAGATTTGATTTCAGATCATGCTTCTGACACAAAACAGTTGTGTGACTCTGGGCCTCAGTATCTTAGGCAACATCCTAAACAGGGGTGGGGAATCTGTGGCCTTCAGACCCCATGTGGCTCTCTACATCCTCAAGTGTGGCCCTTTGACTGAGTGTTCTATGAAGTTTGCTCTTTGAACAAATATTCTGTAAAGTTTGGATTCAGTCAAAGGGCCACACTTGAGGACCTAAAGGGCCACATGGGGCCTCAAGGCTGAAGGTTCACCACCCCTGCTCTAAAGCAATACATTGCAAAGAAGGTGCCAACCTGCATTGATAGAGCCAATTTCTTCACCACGGAGTGACTTCTTAGACCACTGAAATCACAAGTCCAGTCCCATCACGGAGGAGCTACAGAGAGTGGCTGCCCTGCATTGGTAGAAGGAGTCTCCTCCTCAGGGAGTTCATGAAATCACAGGTCCAGTTCCTATCCTACATGGTCACTGAGGTCCCTCCCAATTATGTGATTCTGAGAATCTTGAAAATATAGTCATTTTCACTTTCTGTAATATTGTTCAGTGCTCAGCATATCCAATAATGTCTGACTCTTTTTCTTGAAGAAATATTCATAATATGTAGGCATGAGTCTTCCTTCTGAATAGTCCATAAGACTTTGGTATCTTTCATTTCTTAAACCTAAACCATGTTTTTGGAAGTATTTTTTGTCGTCCTCCCTTCTGCCTACCTTAATGATGAACTCACTAAGTATCAATGTACACATTGGCTTGATTTATAGGACCTTGTCAAGTTCTTCCTAGAATTTCTCCAGCTCTTCATCCTCTGCAGCAGATGCTGGTATATAAGCTACATTTAGCTACATGGTGGTCTTCATTTGTTGATATTCATGATGCTTCTATAAGGCATGATGACCAAGAATCCCATAGAATGAAATTTATCGCTGCCTTTGAGCTAAAGACAAAAAGAATCTCATAGACTCCTTTATTTGCTTCTCCAAGGAAACCCTTTGAGCCATCTTTCCATTAGCTGTGATTTCCTTATGTCTTATTTCATTCATGGCAGGAATGTCAATATTGATGCGATTCAGTTCCTTTAGTACTTTATCAAGTTGTTGGTCATTAGACAAGGATCTCACATTTAGAGTACCAGCAATTAAATTCATGTTTATATACGGCCTATAAACAAACCCCTCTAGATTTCCAAATATCCTAATGTAGAAACATAGGCATACTCCTATGTAGTCCTAAACATTGTGCAATTTAAGGAGCTGAAGCCAGAGGGTTCTGTGAAAATACCAGCCAGAGGGCCAAAAGGAGAGCAGTATTGCTATTTGTTACATAGAGAGAAATGTCACTATACCAGCTAGGAATATTCAAAATTTATGCAGTGTATACTACCTGTTCTTTTCCTCTTCCCTCTATCAGTAGAACATAAGCTTCTCGAGGGCAGGGGCTATTTTTAGTTCTGCCTTCCACAGAATAAGAACTTTGGATCATAGGTTTGTAGTTTTAGAGCTAGCGGGTACTTAGTCCAACCCCTTAATTTTACAGATAAGGAAACTGAGTCCTAGCAAGGTTAATTGACTTATTCAAGATCACATTGGGAATACATGGCAGATTATGAACCCAGAACTCCTGACTCCAAATCCCTGCTCTTTGAATTCTATTAATAAATATTTGTTGGGTTGGATTGCTGAATGTATCCTACAGGCACTCATTAATTACATATTGACTTTGTCCCCAGGAGCTCAAGACTGGTTCATAGTCATTTTCTCATCTATTTCACGTCTTTAAAAAGATAGTGTTGGGAAAAATGTTGTCTCTTTATGACAGATACAGTAACTGAGATGAAAACAGATGGAATGGCTTCTTAGACAGGAGACAGTAATAATCTAATTGAAAATATTAACTGACTGGCAGGAAAGAAGGCAACAGAGATGACTACATCTTGGGGCAGAGATGATTTCTATGAAAAAGTATGAACTAAGATAAAATAGTCCTGAAGAACAATGGTCTGAATTTTCAAGAATGATATGCTAGACCAGGGGTCCTTCACCTTTTGTGGACCATCCACCCCTTGGGCAGTCTGGTGAAGCCTATGAACCCCTTCTCAAAATAATGTTTTTAAATAACTGGAGGAAATGCTCTATTTTATTTAGAGGTTGGTGAAAACAAAGATGCAATTTTTCCCATCTCAGTTCATGGACCCCTGACACCTATGCTTGTATGTCTCAGGTAAAGAGCCTCTAGCCTAGCAGAAAGAAGCAGAACAGATAAAACTGAGAAGGAGTTTGCTATGGCAAACAATTTTACCCGCTTTAGCCCTCCTTCACACAATCCCACAATGTGCTGTAGTTCCTGGGATTTCTTGGGCAAATGAGACAACTTAAGAGTATACATGGTAGGGCAGCTAGGTGGTGCAGTGGATAGAGCACCGGCCCTGAGGTCAGGAGGTCCTGTTTCAAATATGGCCTCAGACCAAACACTTGACACTTACTAGCTGTGTGACTCTGTGCAAGTCACTTAACCCCAATTGCCTTCAAAAAAAAAAAGCATATATGGTCTCCAAGGACCATCTCCATGTGAATTAGCTACAGAAATGTCATTTCCTTTGGGGGGACTGCCAGAATAGCAACCGTTTAGAATTTGCATTTTGAACAGAATCGAGGTACAAAACTACAGAAAATCCCTAGTGTGAAGGAGTAGAAGATAGAATGTATCAGAAGAGCCAAGAGGCTAGGTCAGGGGTGGGGAACCAGCAGCCTTGAGGCCATATGTGACCTTCTAGGTCCTTGGGTGTGGCCCTTTAACTGAGTCCAAGTTTTATAGAACAAATCCTTTTAGTAAGGGGATTTGTTCTGTGAAGTTTGAATTCAGTCAAAGGGCCACACTTGAGGACCTAGAGGGCCAAATGCGGCCTTGAGGCAGCAAGTTCCCTACCCCTGGGCTAGGTGATGGTAGAGAGAGTCAACCACTTCTGGACTGGGACCATGGAGACCAAGGTAGGCAGGAAGCATTTCCTGGTAGCTAACCCAAACCAACCTGGCCGAAACAAGGCCTGTAACACAGAGTGGTTGTCAGGGTTAATGAGATGATGTCTGTAAAGCTCTCAGAGATCCTGGGATGAATGGAGTTGTACAAGTACAATGTATTATGATAAATTGACACAGGATTGTAACAGATGGAAGCTGTTTAGGCTCTTTTTTTCTCTCTTTTCTCTTCCCTCCTCCTTTTCCAACCTCTCCCCACACACACCTTTTAAAAACTACAAGGCGAAGATTCCCAGCTCTACTGCATCAGATAGAAGCTTCAGTCCATAACTAAAAAGAGAGGGGAGGGGGTCCATAAGGGAGGGAGTGCCATTCATTTGTAACTGCAGCCTTCCTAGTTAAAGACTCTCTCGCTTGACAGCAGCAAGTGGCAAACTTAAGGAAGCGATGGGTCATGGGAAAGGTCCCATTAGATCAGTGGGAGCACACACTAAACAAATACAGCCACATGGAAACACACATTAAAATACTGCCCAGGGGAATATGTGGACATATGTTCAATGTGGCTGAGGAGGGGCGGCTTTAGGCCTCTAAAAAGCTATGTAAAAAAAAAAATTCCATCAATCAGTCTTTGGTCCTGTAAAGTATGAAGATGAAAACTGCAAAGGAAACATGTGCTCAGCTCTCTTCACCAGCTGCCCCCATTAAGCCACGTTGCCCAGTCACACTGCCTGGAGACAGATTTCAATCCCAGGCTGTCTAGGAAGGGAGGGAGTAAGGGGATAAAGAATAAGGTGAGGGAAGAAGGGATAGTGAGAGAAGCTGGGAGAAATGGAGAGAGGGGAGCACCATTTAGCTTTTCAGTGGCCCGTTTCCAAAATGGCCTCTGCCCATTCATGCTTTCAGCTAAACCTTTCCCTTTTTTCTTTTATTTGTTTCTTCTGTCCCCTGCCCTGCCAGGTCCTAGTTTATAATAATGGAGTAACAGAAGCTGATCATTACACCACAGAACAATCAGAGATGGATTGTTTTCACTGCTGGTCACAGAGGATGTGGACAACTTTGACATTCATAGAACTTTAGAGCTAAAATCAGCCATAGAGATCATCCTACCCAACCCACTTATTTGACAAAGGAGAACATTGCCTACTTCACAATTCTCCCAAATTCCAGCGCCATGTCAGAGTTTTTAGATACATATGCAGGAAAAGAAGAATTCAACATGTCACCTCAAGCTATTCCATTGGGTTCAAGAATAGAAGAATAAAAAAGGGAGGCATGGAGAACAACTTATAAGGGGAACTGAGGAATTACATCATGTGGACTGATAAGTTGTGTAACTGGGTGGATTTCTTCCAGGTTCAGACATCCATAGGCAGAATAGGTGTGAGTGACATTGAAAGTCAAAAAACATTCTACTATCACCGCTTGATCATTTAAAATGTGCCTTTTCCGTGCATTGTTTCATTTCACCCTCATGATAGCCCTGGGACACACGTGAAGCAGATTTCATTATTCCCATTCTTCGGATAAGGTGACAGGTTTGGAGAAGCTAAACAGCTAGACTTAGTCTAATCTCCACACTGCTTACCGAAGTGATTCTCTCACCCACTCGATAAACTCCAGGGCATCCCTATTGCCTCTATGATCCAATAGAAATGCCTCTGTTCGGATTTTAAAGCCCTTCACAACCTAATCACAAATCTTTTTCCAGTCTCACTATGCGTCACTCACTTTCTTATACTTTGTCTGAGGTCCAGCCAAACTGGGCCTTCTTATCGTTCTTCGCACATGACCTTCTATTTCCAGGACTTTGCACTGGTTTTTCTCTGTACCTGAAATGCAATCTCTTCTCATTTCTGCCTCACAGAATGTCTTACTTCCTTCTACATGAATCTTTTCCTGAAGACTTTCCCCAGCTGAAAGCACCTCCATTCACAACGATTTATTTACATATTCATTCTATATATACTTACATATGAACATGTCCCCCATAATAGAACGTGATCTCCTTTTAAGGGTCAGGATTCTTTCATTTTTATCCTTATATCCTCAGTGCCTGGTGCATAGTAGGTGCTTGTTGGTTGATCGATTGGATCTAGACTCAGTCAGGGAAATGCACTACAAATGTCTAGGCTGAATAGTACCTCCACACTCTGGATTGGTTAGCCCATACCTGGAATATTTTGTCCAGCTTGGAACATTGTATTTTAAGAGGAACATTGTATTACTAGAGGGAATCAAAATGAAACTGTTACCAGTCTCATTCTGTACTCTTAAAAAAAGTCCATTCCATCTTGGTATAGAATCTTCCCATTCCCTCCATGGGTATTTGGAATAACAATGCTATAAAATCTTTGTTTCAACACTATCATTTTTCTTTAAAGCTGGTAGAGGAACAGGGATCCTGAGTAACTGCAAGAATGTCTTTATGGTACAGGCTGAAAAAATGGTTGATAAGACATTTCTTTCTGTTTCACAGTCTAAAACATGGTGACAGTATGGCTGATGGGTTGGCAATACAGAAATATAAGAATACAATGATTGAACTGAAAAATAATAAATTCAGTGGTGACATATAGGCAAAGCCTTAAGATATCTTCTTTATATCCTTAACATAGTTCCGATTATATATATAAGGAAAACTGCTTCCTCCTTGCCTCCAACATGGTGTAATGTTAGGCCCTTAACTTGGGATATGTGCTTTTGGGGGGCAGGGACAGAAAGACAAAGAATTAAAAATATTCAGATTACCACAGCACAACTTTAATTTAGCAACCACATATATGCCTTTTATTGAACTAGAAAGTCAGATTTAGTGCTTATATATTCAATTCAAGCTAAAGCAGCAAGGCCTCAGGAAGGAGAAGCAGGAGGTTTGCCAGGTAAGTCAAACCACCACCTCGACCACCATCTTGGCCACTATCACCCCTTATATCCTGATACAGACAGCCCGAGACCTTGAACACAAGAGCCTTGGGAATGGCAGTGTTCCCCAAACCACTAGACCTGCTTCCAGCCCATTCCTCAAAACCATCATTGAGACAAAAAAACATTGTGGAGAAGGGGCCCACCTTCCTCATCAAAACCAGGAACAGCTGCTAATCAGCTGCCCCCAACAGGCATAGGAGGTCATAGGAGCTTCAGAAGTGGCATCACCCCTTAGACCACTCTCCTTGCTTCTAGATCAGCCCTCACAAATATCATTCTGGGGAGGAGCCAGTTATCCACACAAGTGATAACCAAATGTCACCCGCAGTACACAAGCCAGCCTAGTCGATGTAGCAAGGCACCTTGGGGGAAAGACAGGACACAGCATGTGCCAGGCAGCTCAGGCATCTCCCCTCAGAGTTTGTTGTGGATATCCTAGGACCCTGAACCCAAGATTCTTGGGAATGACAAAACTTCCAGCCCAGAGTTTTCAGACATCTTCCCATGATGCAACCCCTTTGGAGACATAACCTGACAGCTGCTCCTGCAGAGGCTACAGCCACATCTTTTGGAGACCCAGGAAAGAAAGCTCTTGTCACCAAAGTCCTTGGTATTGCCAAATGATTCAACATCAGAAATAGATACGGTCTTATCAATGTAAATAGCACTAAAGAAGAGGCATTGTTATCTGCTTTGCTTTGGCACCCTACAAGGACCATGGGAATTTCCATCTGACTTGAGGCTGAATCTTCCATATGTGTTGTCCTCCGCATTTAGAATGGGAGCTCCTTGATAGCTGTTTTGATTTTTCTATTTGTATCTCCAGTATTTAGCATATAGTAAATACTTAATAAATTAATTATTCATTTGTTCATGAAAAAAACTCTAAAAAAAAAAGGAAAAACTCTGAGTCTTAACGTTCCTCAGTCTTGGCAGTTTTATAATTGGGCTTGTACCACTTAAAGAAGCATGAGGAAATACCTGTTATCCTTAAAAACTCTATCAACACCTTGGTATCAATTTGCTTCCAAGAGGTAGTCCAACACTCCTGTACTAGGGAGGTTTTAATTTCTCCTGTAAAGGCATTTAGCTACAAAAACCCTGTATGAGGGAAGGATCTCAATAAAAGAATATGGCAATGAATCAGTAAAATGTGCCTATGTAGCGACCTAAGATGACAAAAGAGTTTGCTCATAGCAGCCCTATGAGATAAGTAATACAAGTATCACTAGCCTCAATTTTATGGATGGGGAAACATGCTATGAGAGGTGAGAAGATTTGCACATGGTATTCAATAAGTACCAGAGGTAGGAGGCCAACTTTATATTATGCCAATTTTCATAAAAAGATGGTAGTTTCTCTTCCTTCTATACAAACGTAGTTAGGGTCCAGTCCCCATTCTTTCACTGCTGTCTCTGTGATTTTTCTGAGTTCCATTTCACACCTAGAATAGTCTTTTTACTCAGAAACCAAACTTACCATGTAATGTCTTTTAAAGTTCTCCTCAAAGACTCTTCTATGAAGCATTTCTTTTACTCCCTCCACAGAGAACTTGGCTTTGATGGGGAGCCACAACCTAGTCAAGAATGGTTTAGCTAAGTATCTCTTATATGTTTCCACACCTCACCAGGCAAATTGCCTATCCTTCTCTTTTGACTTCGGAACCCTATTGTTATATGATAGGTCTCACTTAGGTGTAAGCTCATTGGGTTAAATGGGGAACCTATATCTAAGTTCTAAGCCTTAGAACTTTATCTTATATGTCACACCTGAAATATTGCTAACATCCCCCCCAAAAAAAATTAAGGGACCAAAGTCATGATCTTTCCTGTCTCTGCCTCCCTCCTGCCTTTTAAAGGGAGTAGACACATAAGACATCTATGCTTAACTAAAGCTAGATGTGTCATTGACCAAGTCTCATCTGGCTTCTTCTTCTACCTTTTTCTTTTCTCCCTACCAGCTCACACATGGGTTTTCTTGGTCCTGAACTGAGAATTGTATAGGCCTTCTCTTCATTGCTGTCAGACACTTTGGGTGATACAGAAAGCCTCTGAGGAGGAATCGTAATTCAACACTGAGCAGAAATGTATAGGTAAAATCTGCCACCAAAAAGAATAGTTGCAAGTAGAAATTCATCCTACTTCTTTCCATTTCTTGACTACATATCCCAAACAATCTGTTCTTTCCTAAGTATCCTTAAGTCTTTCATTGCCCTCTCCTGAGCAGTACAGGGCTAGGGCATGCATTCACATGGATATTTGGGGACCCAAGTGTAGCCCAGATGCCCCTGCACCTCTTTCCAGGGTGTTGGCTGCCAATAGCACCCACAGTATGACATCAGAGGAAACAATACACAGGAGCTCTGTATCCCCTGCAAGCCACTACATCATTCCTCCATGTCTTAACCTACCTATTCATTCCCATACTCCCCTATGTACTCCATAGTAAATAGCTCCAAGGTTGGTTGCTTTGACATTTTTCACTAGCTCTCTTCTCTCCAGCTGACTCCCTTTAAAATATGGACTAACTACAGAACCCTAGGAGAAGTACTGATACAATCAGTCTCCTGTTCCATCCAGTTATTCCCCTCAGCCTTGGCAAGGCAGAAACATCCCCAGAAAAGCTACCAGCTTATATCACTCCAGATCCTTCCTAAGCTTTCTTCTACCCATGATCCCTACTTAGCAACACATCTACTGGTATATCGGAATACTAGAACTGAAAAACAATTTTATCTTCTTTGTCCCTGCTTTACACAATGCCATGATGTGCCATAATTCCTTGGGATTTCTTGGGTAAATAAGACAATGTGAGAGGTCTCCAAGGGCCTACCTCCTGTGAATTAGCCACAGAAATGCCATTTCCTTGGGGGAACTGCCACAACAGAAGCAATTTAGAATCTTGTATTTTCTCCAACATCTAGCATGGTGCTTCTGTACACAGTAATTGCTCAACAAATGCTGTTTGCATGAAGTAGCATTACATTGTTGATAGAGTGCTGGATTTAGAATTCAGAAGTCCAGGCTTTGATGCCTATTAGCAGTGTGGCCATGATCAAATCACTCAGAATCTCTGAGCCTCAGTTTCCTTATCTACAAAATGTGGATAGTAACAATATCTCTAACACCTACCTCACATTTGTGAAGCTCAATTAAGACCATGCATGTAAAACTCTATAACAATGTCAGCTACTATTTTTCCTACCACATTGAAGGTTTCCAAGCAACCAACTAATTCATTACTTGGGTGAGATTAGAGGTCTTTCGCCAATAAAGTGAGTTAGCAGAAATAAGTAAATAATAATAAATATAACAATAGCTCCAATGATGAGTGTTGCTTATTTTAAGGCTCATTCAATCAATCAGTAGTAGAGCCAGGGTCAGGCGTCCTAACTGTACTTTGTAAAAACAGACAGGCTGAATCTAGAACAACAGCGATGTACTGTAACTGTATTCTTGCTGATAGGCCTAACTAAAGAGAAACTGTTACAGAGAAGCTATCGTTGATTTCAATTCCCTGCTCATTATAAATTGAACTTTGGAAGACTGGAAACCTGTAACTATGTCTTCCAACTCTGAAAGATACAAAACAAAGCAAAACATCTTTCACTGTTGGTAGTTCAATATTATTCACATGTGAATTCAGAAATTCTCTATAGCAGAAATGATTCAATAGTGGCAGCTTAATGAATTAGATTCAGAATCTATTTCTGGTATTCATTGTGTGAGCTTCGCTAAGTCCCTGCAATTTTGTGGTTCCTCAATTTCCCCCCCTGCAACTGTGCCAGGAAGGTGACCCTCTTTTACCTCCTATATTCATTTCCTTCTCCTCAGCACGGGTTCTACAGGATCACAAATTTAAAGATGGGAGGGATTTTTATAAGTTGACTAATCAAACCCACACAATTTCCAGATTAGGAAAGTTATTTGTCTATGGTCACATACTCAGTAAAGAACAAAGTAAGATTTGAACCTAACCCCAAATTTAGTGTATTCTGGCGTCTCACTGGGGAGGAATTACTTCATACAAGGATTTAGCCCTACATCTATAAAGAATCACTCTCTCAGGCCCCAGTTAAAACAAGACCAAGGGAAGGAAAAGCTATAGATGGACCTGGGAAACAGCATCAAAATGACACTGAGAAAAATAAGTCCTTTGATCTAATTGTCTGAGAGTCTGAAGTATGGCCAGCAGTAATCATTTTTGTAACTTTTAAAATTAAAGAACTTGGGTTGAAAGGCCTTTTGACAGCAGTAGAGAGATGGAGAAAGAAGAGGGGAATAGTAAGAGGGGGGAGGAATGAAAACTGGGGGCAAAAAAGGTCAAGATGGAAAACTGCAGCTCCATGACAAATATATTTTAATGAGTTCAGCTGTGCTGTATTATACCAAAGATCAATAGGCAGCAGTTTGAGTAGCCATTGATGGGTAAAGGTAACAGCTGTTGAATGCAGTGGCCTGAGTGAGCCTGTCAGTCGGTGGGTAAGACTTTGCTGTTGCTGCAGAGATTTGTCACACATGACAAAGTGACATCACAATGCCCCATCCAGCACGTCAGAAAAAGGTAGCCTCAAAGCTGCAATATGACATGGGGAGCTCAGCAGGAGGTCACCATGGTTTCCTGTCCTTGAAACCAACTAAATCTTAGAGACCTGAGACCCATTCACAGTGAGCCCAAGACTCCCCTTGAACTAAGGGATGGGAGGAGAAAGCCTAGCAGAGAAAACAACTGCAGGGAAGTAGTCAAAGTGGCCACTGGGAAAAAAATAACTAGTTAATGAGAGTACAACTTTATTTTGAGATGAAGAAATTCCAGATGGAAGAGGGAAGGAGAGAGAACTCAAATCCATCAACAAGTAGTTGCTTACCTCCAAGTAGCAGATTACACTTCTATAGCTCTTTAAAGCTTAAAAAGCATGTCCTACATAGCAAACCCATGGGGTAGGTTGGTATAATTGTTATTAACATCATCCCTATTTTACAGATGAGGAAACAGAGGCTCACAGAGATCGAGTGACTTCCTCTAAATCATATATAGATGATAAGTGTCAGGGCTGGCACTTGAACCCTGGGTCTTCTAACTCAAATCCAGGACTTGGGTCTACTTTTGCCACAGTGCCTAGCCAGGCTCCCAAGCGAAACACTGATCAGTTTGGGTATAGAATTCAGTGATAGCTCCCTAGCAACACAATACAGGATATGTCCCACACCAGTGTCCTGAAAGAATCCAGACCCACCAGACCCATGTAGAAAAGACTGAGCATTAAGTTGAAAGGAAAAGATTGACATTACTGCCCCTGGGAAGTGTATCAAGTTCAAGCTGAAATTATAAATGAAAAGGAAAATGTAAAAAAAAATATTTCTCCCATTGGGAGGTTTTATTTCTATTAGTTGACAGAGCTAGTTATTCATTTTAAGCTTTGGGGTTTGTTCTTTCAGATTTTAACTTAGTGGATACAAGAACCTGGAAGCTGGAAGTCTCTGCAGAATATCAGCTGAGCTCTGTCATCACAGGGAAATGCCTCTGAGTCTCCCTTCCCAACAGTTGTCTGTAACTAGGCCTTGTCTTCCAGCTGTTTTCCTAAGCCACAGAACACTTGATTGGTAATAAGCCTTTGAATTATAGAATGAGAGCTGGAGTGAGACCTTAGACATCATTGAAACCAAGCCCCTCGCTGGATAAACAGGTTAAGTAACTTGCCTGAGTTTTTACAGTTACAGTAAGAAGTGGAATTAGAACTTTGGTCTCTTTAACATTACACTCACTTCTTGTTTATTAAATAGCATTTATTAAGCACTTACTATGTTCTAGATGCTATGTTAGGTTCTAGGAATACAAAGACAAAAAATAAAATAGTCCTCCGCAGGAAATTTGTAACTTCTATTATTCCAGCAAGTCATATAAACAAAAAACCAATTATGGTCACTGAAGGCAAAAAAATAAAAAAAAATCAGAGCTGGAAGCAGGGATGTGCTGCACCCAGCTCATGGTTTCTAAGAGTTGATTGTTAAATTTTCAGTGTGAGCATTTATACCCTCCAAAATTAACACAGACAATAAACCAGGGCTTGATTTATTCTATTGATTGTCTAGAGTTAAGAAAGCAATGGAGGGAATGTCAGATTAAATTTACAAGTTTGTTCTACTTTTAAAAGATCTGGTTGTTAAATATTTACCAACATACCTGTGGCCGGAAGTGACCTCAAGAGGTTATCTCATCGTGCTCCAAATCCTTTCCAACTGCCAAAACTGGTTTCATTTTAAACAGTTCGAAGGGAATAACACTTCATGCTTCAAAAACTGAACCCTTGAAATGATTGCCATGGAATATACAGGGTACTATCCAACTCCTTTAATGAAAACAGAAAAACAATAGCAGGGTCTAATGGTCACTCCAGCTGCTTTCAAAATTTTTCCATAGGATGTTTTTAGCTAATCCATCAACAAGCAATTATTAAGTACTTACTATATGCCAGGTGCTATGCTGGGTGCCAGTGATACAGAAAAAGGTGAAAAGTCTGTGTTCTCAAGGAACTTACATTCTATCAGAGTAAATAAAGTTATAAAATTATCTTGACAATGTATGTATTTATCATATCTTTAATTGTTACCTGGGCAGCTAGGTGGTGCAGCATATAGAGTGCAGGGACTGGAATCAGGGAAACCTGAGTTCAAATGTGACCTCAGTTCAAGCTTAATAAATGCTTATTAATTGATTGATGTTACCATCGAGTGAGCAACCTAGCCTGAAAGTCTTGAGATGCTTGCCAATTAATGTCTTTAAAAAAATTACAGTAAGAATAGTTCACATTTATTTAGTGCTTTATAAAATTCAAACACTATCATCTCATTTGACCCTCACAATCACGCTGTGAGATGAGTGCTATAAGTATAATTATTCCAATTTTACTGATTAGAAAACAAAGATCTTTTTGGAGGTTTCTTGACTTGTTCACAAAGTCACATAGCTGGCAAGTGAAAGACCTGTGATTTGAGGTCCAGCTTTGTATCTCCCTAATCCACTGCATTTTCAACTATGCCACACTGGGAATGATTAACCGATACAAAGAAATAAAGAATTTGCTTGAACAGTGGTGGTGATGGTGATGGTGGTGGTGGTGGTGATGGTGATGGTGGTGATGGTGATTATGGTGATGGTGATGGTGGTGGTGGTGATATAGTAACAATAGCTAGCATTCATATTGTACTTTAAAGGTTTGTAAGACATCTCATGTAATGTTCAATTAAAACTCTTGGAAGAGAGGATCAAAATTTTAAATGGCCTTGGGAAGTTGGAAAAGTCAGTCTTATTAAACAGGATGAAATTAATTTGGAACAATGCACAGTGGTGCACTAAAGACAAAGCAGCCAGGGAAAGACGAGTCAGGAACAGGCATAACAGGAAAAAGCAAAAAAAACCACTTAGGGATTGTGCTTCACTTAAAGCTTTGAAAATGAAGCACTGCTTGGAAGAACAAAAGGTCAAGAATTTCAAAGAAACTAATGAAAAAAATGTAAAGGAAGGAGGTTTAGCAGTATCATATCTTGAATTATATTATGAAGCAGTAATTATCAAAACTATCTGTACTGACAGAGAAATAGAAAGGTAGATCAGTGGAACAGAGTAGACATACAGCATATTGTAGTAAATGATTATAGTAACCTTGTGTTTGATAAATGTAAAGATTTAAGTTTTGGGGATAAAAATTCATTATTTGATAAAAATAGTTGGGAAAATTGGAAAGCAGTTTGGTGGAAATTGAGTATAGACCAATATATTAAACCATTTACTAAGACAAGGTCAAAATGATACATGACCTAGGTATAAAGGAAGATATCACGAGAAAATTAGAAGAGCATGAAACATATTACCTACTTATGGATAGGACAATTTATGAATAAACAAAAGAGAGAGCATTCTGAGGTATAAAATGGGTAATTTTAATTACATTAAATTTAAAAGGTTTTATACAAATAAATTCAACGTAACCAAGATTAGAAGGAAAGCAGAAAATTGGGAGAAAATTTTAAAGACAATTTCTCATATAAAGGTTTCATTTCTCAAATATATAAAGAATTTTGTCAAATTTATAAGAATATGAGTCATTCCCCAATTGTTAAATGGTCAAATGATATGAACAGACAGTTTTTTGATAAAGAAATTAAAACTATATAGTCATATGAAAAATGTTCTAAATTATTAACCAGAGAAATAATGACTTAGATCATTTTTTCATATGACTATATATATAGTTTTAATTTCTTCATTGAAAATTTTTTAACATACAAGGGCCAAGAAGTAATCCTCTTCTACTCTGTATCTTGCAAACCCTTATTATACAGGTATGTTTAAACATTTCTCACCAGATTTTTTAAGTCAGTATCAGGTAGTACAGTGGATAGAACACCAGGCCTGGAGTCAGGAAGACCTAATTCAAATCTGGCCTCAGATACATACTATCTGTGTCACCCTGGGCAAGTCACTTAACTCTTTGCTTCAGTTTCCTCATCTGTAAAATGAGCTGGAGAAGAAAATGGTAAAGCACTCCAGTATCTTTGCCAAGAAAACCCCAAATGGGGTCACAAAGAGTTGGACATGAATGAACAACAAAAAGACTTCTTTAGAAAAGATATAGAGAAAGAGAAGAGATTTACTTTTTACGTGTTTTTCATTTAGTTATCTACATACTCTCCTTGATAATAGGAAATATTTCCAGTTTAACTGCATAAGAGGAACCAGGAAAGCCTAGCTTCAAGTCCTGCCTCTCACATATACTGGCTGTGCAATGCTGGACAAGTTATTTAACCTTTCAATGTTTGAGGCAAATCTCTAAGGCTAAAGTTCATAGTTCTCAAGCTGGAAGGGGCCTTAGAGGTCATCTAATCCAATCCCTTCATTTTTCAGGTGAAGAAACTGAAGCTGTGGAGGTTAAATGACATGCCCGTGATCACACACTTAATAAGCAGCAGAGTCCAGATTTGAACCCTGCCCTCTCATTCTAAATTCATCACGCTGAGATGGAGCCAAGATGGTGGAGTAAAGGTGGGGGACTCACCTGAGCTGTCCCCCAAACATCTTTTAAAAATGACCCTCAACAAATTCTAGAGCACCAGAACCCACAAAAAGATCGAATGAAGCAAATTTCTAGCCCATGACAACTTGGAAGGTTGGCAGGAAAGGACTGTTGCACTGGGGGAGAGGAGTGCAGTCCAACACAGGCCACGCCAGCACGGCGCCAGCCCCAGCAAACCAGAAGCAGGCCTTGGGAGACTGAATCAACAGTGGTTGCTCCTAGAGTGCTCAACCCACATAAGGGAAGGGGGTCGAACGACTGGTCAGAAAGAGATTATAGGGGTCTCTTTGCTAGCACAGGACTCTGTGTTTCTTTGCCCATACTTGGATCTGGGTCACAGTCTTAGGTGGCAGTCCTTGGACAAGCAGAAGCATGGGCATAGCAGACCTTGTGGCCACAGTGGAGGGGAGACCCCTTTACAGTTCCAGGGCAAAAAATAGTCCCTGTGGTCACTCACAGACCAGAGCACAGGCCAGGAGAGTAGTAAACACCTCTCCTTGGATCATAACACCTTGGAAGAACCGAAAACTTACAGGTCCCTAGAAGCATTTCTGAAAATAGCCACATAAAACCCTGAAGCTTGGGACAGTGTGTCTTCTACCCTGGAAGTAGAGCCCTACTTTAACAAACAGTTAAAAGTCAAGTAAGAGGCTGGAAAAATGAGCAAACAATGGAAAAAACTCTGACTATAGAAAGTTACTATGGTGGCAAAAAAGATCAAAACACACACTCAAAAGAAGACAACAAGTCAAAGCTCCTACATCCAAAGCCTCCAAGAAAAAATATGAATTGGTCTCAGGTCACGGAAGAGCTCAAAAAGGGTTTTGAAAATCAAGTAAGAGAGGGAGAGGAAAAATTGGGAAGAGAGGTGAGAATGATGCAAGAAAATCATGAAAAAGAGTCAACAGCTCAATAAAGGAAAAAATATTGAAGAAAATAACACCTTAAAAAATAGCCTAACCCAAATGGCAAAAGAGGTACAAAAAGCCAATGAGGAGAAGAATGCCTTAAAAATCAGAATTGGCCAAGTGGAAAAGGAAGGCCAAAATCTCATTGAAGAAAATAATTCCTTAAAAATTAGAAATGAGCAAGTGGAAGCCAAATTCATCACACTTTCCACTGGACCAGGAAGCCAGTAAAGCACAGGGACTGTCCAGTGGTTGCACCTTGCTCGTTCCATGGCCTGACTTCTTTTTGTCTCCTACATGCAAAACATTTTATATTTTGTCTTATCACAAAAGATTAGGCAATGCCGAGTATTAAATTCTCAGTTTTAAGACACTGAAATAGAAAATGGAAAACTTAGGCAATCTACCAACCATCAGTGAGACATGTCAAATCTGGGCCATTGAAAACATGGATACACAACTGAATTTTTTTTTTCATTTGGGGCATGTGCAATCAATTAACACAGTGCTGAAAAATAAACTTCACAGGGACACTGCTACTTTTTTTGTCATTCACTGGGTAAAAGGTGACTGAATTATCATTGATATCCCTTCTCATCCTTCTTGTATGGGTACAGTCCAAGACTTGCTTCTCATTCCTCTTCTCTTCTCTCTCTATCTCTCTCATCAGCTTCCATGGGTTCAATCATCATCTTTATTTAGAAGAAGCACCCCCTTCTGGGAATTAGTCATATTTAAATTCATGGTTCAAGTTCCTAGGGAGGTGACTAATATGGCCAAGATTCAAAGATGCTTTTGGGGTTCACATTCCTAAAATTAAGACTCGTGATCATCCTCTAGTGAAGTTACCTTTAATAACCTCCTAGTAGACATGAGGAACTCAAAGCGCTAATACTAAGATGGCATGGTAAACAAAAGCTATAAAAAATTTCCTCCATAAATCTGGGGCACACACTCTCAGAGATACACATAGCTCCTGTGGGAAGAGAGGGCTTTCTAAGCTGGAGTACAAAGGTACCCAGGCACACACATAGGGGACACATGTGGCCAAGGCCTCTGGCCCTGCAGGGCCCGGATGTTCTTTCTTGTGGTGTCCTCATATTGCTCCCTCCTACTGAGCAGGTCATTCAGCTGGGTTCCCTGGAGCTTCTCCTATCCTCAGTTCAGCTGTCTCTTTAATCCATATTTAGCTTTCTTCTCTAGCTCCAGAGTTCTCATTCCTTGAAGCTCCATTTCTTTCTGTGTCTGTGACTGTCTGGCGAGCATGTGTTTCTGTTCCGTGACTTGAATTACTTGATTCTCTGAATTTCTCCCTTTTAGATGTGGTATCTCCTACCAGGACAGTAGATCCTGTGGCCTTGGGGTGAGGGGGAAGGAAAGAAAAGCATACACCCTTTGCCCTCTGGCAGAGGTAAAGGGGTGGAGGCCCACTCCACAATGCTATTCTCTGCCTTGAACACCTCATATTCTAGAACTGCTCAAACTACTCCTTGGGCTGACAGATTTGTGTTTTAAGGACCACCCAGGGTGTGGCTTGAAGGCAAGCACTGTTTTGTTTCCATCTCTGTTTTTCTAGTAGTACATTAATATTTTATTACTTCTGTAATCTTGCCTTCTACCTTTATATCACCTTATGAGCAGGGGAGGGGGAGGAAGAGCAAACTAATTCCCTCTACTGCATAGATGGCTCACAAATCTACATATCCAATTCTTTTTCTTGAGTCCTAGTCACTAGGTACAGCATTGACTCTGGAGTCAGGAAGACCCAATTTCAAATCTAGCCTTAAACACTAGCTATGTGACCACAGGGAAGTAGACCAGTTGAGCTGGAACATAGAGTATATGATAGACAGTAATGTAAAATAAATCTAGAAAGATAGACTAGAGCCAGATTGTGAAAGGCTTTAAATGTCGTGTAGGCTTTTAATAAATTTTGTCCTAGAGGATATTGGGAGCCACTGAAACTTAAGCAGGGGAATGACACAGTCATACCTGTGCCTTAGGAATATCAATTTCAACAAGTTTTGGCAACTAATCAGACATACTGGATGAAGAAGAGTAAATAGTCAAGAATGACTCGGGGTATAAATCTGGGTGCCTAGAAAGATAGTGACACCCTCATCAGAAGTAGGAAATCTGGGAAGAGGATTGGTCTAGTTTTTTCGGAGGGGGGCAGGGAATAATGAATTCCATTTGAGTCATGTTGAATTTGAGTTGCTTATTTGATGTCTGAGTGTAAATTCCAATAGGCAGTTAGAGATGGAATACTAGAGTCCAAGGGGAAAACAAGACTGGAGATCTGTAAATCTTAGCTAGCTAGCTCATTGTACTTACATATGTATGTATATATATTATATACATACAAACATATGTATTCACACATATATTAGACTATATACATAACATATACATGTATATATTTCTTATACACTGTGTATATATGTGTGTAGATTTAGGGATTACCAGCACAGAAATGATCACTGAACCCAAGGAAGGTAATGAAATTACAAAATTAAGGTTTGGAAAAAGAAGAGAGTTTGGGAGAATTAATCATGGAAAATGCTGGTGAACATGTCTGGGAGTAGGTCCTTGGAAGTATGGTGTTTTGAGGAGCTGTCTAGGTGTGTGTATGTATGTGTGTGTGCATGTATATGTATACGTGTGTGTATATACACACACATTCTGGCATTTTGTGGGTGATTTGTCTGAGATTGTATGGGACAATGAGATTTATGCTTTAGGAAGATCCATTTGAAAACTAAGTGGAGGATGGACTGGAGTAAGGAGTGATTTGTGGCAGGGAGACCAATAAGTAGGCTATTGGAATAGTTCAGGTAGGGTCTACACCAGTGTCAGGGGAGAAGAGGGAGAACACACAAGAGATGTTACATAGAAAATGACAGGATTCAGCAACTGATTAGATTGGGAAGAGACAGTTAAGAAAGAGGAGTCAAAATGAAACTAATATTGAAAACCTAGCAGGATAGTCTTTGCACAGCCCTCTTTCACTTAAATCCAATTCACTTGTGTGGCATGGCATCACCTCCCTGATGTCATGGTACTCTTCGAGAGCAAAGGCCAAATAGCCACAGCAGGTTAGTACTAGTCTCCACAGTAATGGGAGGTTTCATGGAGAGGAGGGTTTTGGGGGAAAGATAATGAATTCAGTTTGGGATATTTTGAGTTTAAGATGTCTAAGGGAACATCCAATTGGAGATATCCGACAGGCTATTGAAGATGTGAGACTGGTGGTCTCCCTATCACCTTGATTTTAAATATAATTACTCTTTTTGAAAGCTCTTCACAAGTGCACAGACCAGAAGAACATAGTACACTGTAACAGCAATATTGTAAGGATGATCAATTGTGGAAGACTTAGCTATTCTGATTAAGACAATAACCCAAGACAATTCCACAGGACCCATGATGAAAATGTTGTTCACCTCTAGAAAGAAGACTGACAAACTCTGAGCATAGATTGAAGCATACTTTTTTATTTTCTTTATTTTTCTTGTTTTGTGTGTCTGTGTTTTCTTTTGTGATATGGCTGATATGGAAATACGTTTTGCATGACTTCATATGTGTAGTTGATGTCATAATGCTTTCCTTCTCAAGGGCCGGGGGAGTGGCTGAAAAAGGAAGGAGAGAATTTGGAACTCAAATTTTTAAAAAATGAATGTTGAATTTTTTACATATAATTGGGAAATATTTAATGAACTAAATAATTTGTTTGAAAGAAAGCTCTTCACAACCTGGTCCCTTCCAGTCTTTACAATCTTCTTGCATACTACTCTCTTCCACACTCTCTACAATTCAAAATGATCTTAGTCTCTGAGTCAGCATTCTAATGTGGCCGATAAAGAGCTGGTGAAATGTGTTATATATTTACTGCTATAATATGACTGTCATGTCAGAATAAGGACACATTAATTTTTCCACACTGATTAGCCTAGAGTATTGCATTCAATTCTGGCACTATATTCTAAAAGGGATATTTATATAAGTTTCAGAGCATCAGGATGAATGCCTTCCTACCTCCCAGCTCTTCATCAACTCCTACTCATCCTTCAGGGCCCACATCAATGTCACCTCCTT